GAAAACCTCAAAAGCCTAAGTATGGCCAATAAGGTAACCCTCAAATAAGTGCCAGGGCATAAAGGAATTGGAGGAAATGAAAAAGCAGATGTTCTGGCAAGAGAAGGATCAGCAACCAGTTATACTGGTCCTGAACCGGCAATTGGCACCACAAAATCTTCGGTAAGAACAAAAATAAACCAATAGGTGTACAGAAAACACCAAACCTGCTGGCAAACTCTTCCGAAGCTCAGACACAATAAGCTTATGGTACAACAACCATCACCTAAACTTACTGAAGAGATCTTACAACTAAACAGGAATCAAATCAGGCTAATAACTGGACACTGTAGCCTGAGAAAACATCTTCACACAATGGGCATCCTCCAAGAAGAACCCATATACAGACTTTGTGACGAGGAGGATGAAACCGCCACCCACGCATAGTCTTTGAATGTGAGGCCTTACGCTGGCGGATATACAGACAGATAGGGCCAGAAGACCCTATCTCTAAACTCACCAAAAATAACACGGTGAAGAGGCTCCTAAACCTCATCAAGGTCAGGAAACTTTTCACTGATTAAACAGGCGAAGAGGACAATACAATCAGCCGACGGCTGCAGTGTTGGGGCCACCTAACCCGGCCTGTTCATTCTGCATCTCAACCAACCAACTAACCAACATGTTGGACACTGATGGTTTTGGTTGCTAAAAAACTACAGTGAGGCATCTCAATTCAATAAACTTATTGCCCTTTAATAATTAAATTCCTTCTGGTGTAAAACTATAATGCAATAATGATACCCTTTTTGGAATCCAAGGGCGAAAGGTGTGCTACAAACCACCTTCAAATATAACGTGTCACAAAGTGAGTTCGTCGTATAAACGACATTTTCCGCAATTCTTCGGAAATTATTAACGCTCAAGGCAAACTGGCCTTTGCTGCAGCAAAAGAATCCCATTGGAGAATGTGAACCAGTGACTTTTTTTTTTCTTCACGTGAGTTATTTTCATTAAATGCTAATCAAATCTACGGTACAATAATCAAGTCGATAAATATTTGTCTTATAATACCTGCTGCAACCATTGAAGACATAATATGAAATAAAATCAATATAAGACCAGTAGTGCGAAAGCATTATGCAAAATGATCAGACCAAACAAATCAATAATTTTCGTGATGCAGGTAATTGACAAATATTTTCGGTCAGTCTTTAGTCAAAGTTTTTGATAACTAATTGCAGATTTTTAAGGCTACTTCTCACCTAGATGATAATGGAAAAAGCTGAATAGCTACCTTGAAGCTTTATAAACAAACAACAAACAAAAACAGGGCTTTCTTTTTTTTGTGTGTGTTATTTTTGTACCGTCATCTGACATTATACTGTTAATGCCCGTTAAGTATGCGAATTGTATACCCAGATAAAAATCGTGAGCAGCATTTCAAAGGTGTATAAACGTTATTTGTTTTTTAACCGGTCGTTATAGGTTATTCTTTTAAAACGAGGCTCGTTCTCAGAAATGAGATTTTGAGACGAGATAGAATGAATCCTCAGGTAAGAGATTTGATTTATTTTCATTGAAATGTTTAAAAAAACGCCAAGAGAAAACTTAACCAATATCACAAATAAAGTTCATAGACCCTGGCCGGTTGTTTGTTGATTGCAATGTATTATAGAAAGATAAATTGGTCATTAAGAAGAAAAATATATTGAAGATCCTCTTTGGTCCAATACAGCCCAGCCGCGATGTCGTAACAATCTTCGATATAATATGAATAAATATGTGAAAGCAAGATGGAGAAAGTGATTTGGCTAAACCTGTTTTAGATCTTCGGGTTGAATTTTTTTTTCTTTACAGCTCGGATACTGTATGTATCTTCTAACAAGTGCGGAAAGTTGCTATTATTACGTATAACAGGCGTGAAAAAAAGTAGACACCTTCCGCACGCGTTGGAAAAGTTTTTCATTTCTAAAAAGCTGCAGTTGATGGGCGATTTTGTTATTTCAACGTTTTATATTCTTTAGAAATTATTTGCAGGTGAATATCTCAGAAACGAAAAAGTTAAGTTCACCGCCAAAAGGACTACATTCAAAAAATTGAAGTTTCTCCGTCAATCCATAGCCACAAGCAATGTTCAAAAAAATCTTAAATCTTTGTAAGTTTCCCTCAAAAGACTAATTGAGAACCGGGAAATTATGTTGATCTCAAAGTCCTTTTTTGATGGCGAAGTCTGTACAATCAGGTAGGTAGGTATTTTGGAGCAAACTTAACCAAAACTCTGTTGACATTTCAGTAATTGCTGGTCTATAGTACCCAGCGCCGGTTTAAGCATTAGGTGGACTAGGCGGCCGCCTAGGGCCCGGGCGCTCAATGGGGCCCGAAATTCACTCTGAAATCAAATATCTTATTTTGGCATCCTTGCGCCCTGAGACACCACCCGAATTACGCACACTATCGGCAACACTGTTCTGTAGCTGTGGGAATTGTGGGATTCCCAACTCAGGTAGAGTCCATCCAACCTTATGTCGTGTTGCTGATGAACATCCGTTAAACGACTAATAGATAATAGATACGAGATGTTCCGCTACCTAGACAGCACACAAAGTCTTGAAGACGTTTTTTTCTAGGGTCTGTTTTATATTACGTCTGAACGTCTGAAGACCAAAAAAAGACACCTAGAAGACGTTGTTTTGAACATGTCCATATAAAATGTCGTAAATTCATATCTTTCTCTTCTTCAAGCCTAAAAGTGAATAATGATTTATGTATTGAAAAGAGATTCAAAAACGTCTTTAAGACATCTCTTTGAAGATTTGAAGTAGTCTTTAGAATGTCTTAGTACTGAAGACATCTCTGGAAGACGTTGGGTTTTGTTACATTACGACGTCTTCAATATGTCTTTGAGACGTAGGCAAGACGTCTTGAATGTCGTTTATGGACATATTAGGGTCGTCTTTGGGAAAAATTTCCCACAGAATTCGTTTCTCATTCAATTTAGAAGTTACTGAAAACCATTTAAAATGCTACAGAACACTTTAGAACTTTAATAGACCTTTTGGAAAGTTCAAAACATTTAAAATTAAATTCAAAATTTCCAAAAGCATTCTGTAGGGCTTCAGAAAATTTTGGAAATCCAGAACCATTTTAGAATGCCCCAAAACATTCAAACACCGATTTCCAAAGGTATTTTAGAACAACTCAAAAGGTTGAAACCCATTTTAGGACGCTCCAAAACATTCAAACTCAGACACTCTGGAATCCCTAGAAACATTTTGAAAAGCACCAGAATCTTGGGATTCAGATTAAAAATTACAAAACGCCTTTCAGAAGGATTTTTAGAGCAAATTTTGATTGCGTAGAACTTTAGAACTCTTTAAAGGCATTTAAAACAGTTCAAATCTAAATCAGAATTTTCAGGAGCATTTTGGAGCAATTGAGAAACTTCAGAGTTATTTTAGAACAATTTCAAAGTTCTAAATTTATTCCTAATTTAGAACTGGAAACCTTTTAGAGCTTTTTTGAACCAATTTAGAACTTTTTGGAGCTTCAATAGAGCTCTAAAATACTTAAAAATCTGGCAGAACAATTTAGAAATTACTGAAAAACTTCTAGAATGCTCCAGAACTCTTCAAGCCAAGTTAGAACACTTTAGAACTGCAAAAAGCCATTTAGAACGTTCCAAAACTCTTTCCAGCAGCATTTTGAAAGGCTTTTTTTTTTCAATTTGGACAAAAACAGTAAATAGTTACTTTGGGCTGAGGCCCCATACCTTCTGCCGCTTAGGGCCCGGTAGAGCCTCGAACTGGCGCTGATAGTACCTATTATCGAGCTAAGAGTGGATGATGAACAAATTTCAGAAAGGTTTGGGAAATAAGTTTTTTCCTGACGTTGTGCGAGATACACCATTTTGCAAATACTTAATTTCAACCTTCGTACCGATTCTGTGATTACATTCTAGATCAGTTTTCTTTTTCTTCTCAGCTTCAAACCCCACCGAATTACGAATAATCAATCAGAAGGCGTCCTTTTCCAAATATCGATGATGATTTCAGAGTTCAAGGCTTATGAAAATAAAAAATGAATTGCTTCAAGTAATTATTATTATTACTTAGAAATTCAATTGAACATGTATTGTTTCATTTTCCCATCAGGTCGCATAAGGCATGCAATTGCCATTTAATTGTTACAAGTGAAGTGAAAAGGAATGTCAATAATAATTAATTATTCTCCTTTCACAAAATAATCGATATATGTTGTTATTTTCGTTTCGATCGATTGCTTATTGTGTTCATTTGGTACTGGAACTCTTTATATACTTATTTTTGCCTACAGGAATGTGTTTTTGGTGAAGGTGGGGTACTTGCGCGACAGTGGAGTAGGAATTAGGATATTTTCGTAAGATCCTGGACCATTCTCACATTTTCCTCCTATAAAAAGGATTTCATTAGCGGCTCATCAGCTGGATTTCATCCAGTACTTTATTTTTCAAATTTTGATATTGTCCGGCTTCTTGGAAAATGGTGCATCTATAATTCTGTTTTAGAAGAAGTTAGAAATCCTGAAAATCCATTTCCTGGTCAGGTTTGGAATACTTTTCTTTTATTGTTGGGTTCAAACTTCATTCAATACAATTCTGTCTATTGACTTTTATCAGTGTTTGTGTTACCTACTTTTCATCATCTTCCAATGGGTTTTCTAGAATAATATTCTACAGGTGAATTCGGTTTTTTTTTTAAGTAGTTCTTTCAAAAATATGAATTTTCAAAGAGAGACGACCAAAATCCATAGAGCCATAATCCTAAATCCTAAATCCCAAAAGGGTCAAATGATAATACATCAATCCAAAAATCATTACCATACCTTTTGGGTAGTGCCATTATGGGATTTATTGCAGACCCATTAACTTTACCAGCATTAAGAAAGAGATCTTATATCTACACCACCACTGATTATCTCCACTAATGGGCATTTCCTCGAGCCGAAGAAATCGAAAATAATTTATCAAACATAAGTAGAGTCACCTATCGACAAACGCCTCCAGTTGATCGCAAGAACCGTGCTGGGTACCACCTTTCAAGAGTGGTGAAAGTGCGACGAAGAACCACTGATACACACATGCGCAATCTGAAAAAGGACGCACTATAAATATATACCGGAGTACCTATTCACTTCTTGGCTAGTGACCGATCCATCAGCATGGATGCCAAAATACTTTGGCTGTGTTTTTTATTGTTGGGCGTAGGTGAGTACCGAAACTTTTTTTTTTCTTATATTGATGGGTACCATGATGCGCGATGGTACACCAATAATTGACAGCTAGGTCAATTTTAATTTTAATTTTTTTCACTTTCACCTTTTACACTTTTTTATATTTTGTTTTTATTAGTTATTGTTTTAATTTTTTTTTACTAAGATTTCCATTTTCCTATAGCATTATTATTATTGAATTATCTCATTCTCATTCCAACAAACACATTTTCTTTTTTTTTTTTTAATTCTTCAATCGTTCCAAAAGAGAAAGTCTATACAACAAAGTGCTGTAAGTTCGTTATGTAAAATGTTCTGTTTGCTGCGACATGCCCAAGGAAACAATATATTATTCATATAATTGTTAACGCCTTTTATTACTGATTGGCAACAAATGTGGGGAATGAAAATTTTCATTATTTCCCAATTCAAAAATTATAATTCAAATCATGCCCCTCCTAGACAAAAAAAAAACGGTTCTCAGTAGATACTGTTTGAAAACGTGATTGATTTTATTGATTAGGCTTGAACCTAATTAGTTGAAGCAAGGTTACTGGCCTGAAGTTGAAATTATTATTTTTCCAATAATTATTATTGTCCACCAAAGTGTGCGTTTTCCGTCTGCAAAATCCAACCTTGAAGATACTGGTTTCGTGAATATGGGTGCGAAAGTAAAAGTTCTTTGTTTGAATAATTGATTTTGTTGCAGATAGACTACTGTTTTTAGCCGGAAAGTTAATGATTTTTTAAAATAGTTTGCCTTGAATTTCTCTATACAGGATTTTGGAAAATATTTTATTACTGGCATTTGATGTTTTTGGTATAATACCTGGTCTCCATTTTGATTCTGTTCCAAAGTTTTTGAATGCAAATAAACTATAAAAGCTGTGGATGGTGATCTTAGAGTTTGTTGAAATTGTATGAGAATGATTATTATAGATGATTTAACCAAAATGAAGACTAAATGGAGAGTTTGTTTTGTTGATAAACTTCTTTTTGGTGTTTGTTCCAATCTAACATCATTTTATGGTTGTAAACTCATCCGCTTTCCAGGTAATTAGGGATCTTTTGGTTCCTTATTTTTTGTTGTTTGATTGGTTTTATCGGGTCTCAGTATCTATCCCCGACTTTCTCCGAATCACTTTTATTTTTCATATATTCATCTTCAGAATCATTTATTAAGTGAGTTCGGAATTGTGGAAAGTGTCGACACTTTTAACACCATTGACACTGTGGCGTTCGTTAACTGGTAGGAGTAAGTTTGGTGTACACTCTATTTGCGTTTGGAAATAATTTGGTGTCCGGATGGTGTGAAGATGGTGGGATACCGTTTACTCGGTACACTATGATGGTGTTACACCGCCGATTACACCTTCATCACGTGATGTAAAACTGCACTACACGAACACCGCACTAGCACTGCACTAAAAGCCCATTCCGAACTCATCTCTTCTTGTCTTGACAACAATAGCTTCTACTCCTTTTTCATCATTTTTAGTTTTTGCTGAATCTTCTCCTAGTAATTTGTTGTTTCTCAAATTATCAATTTCTTTCCTAATCTCAAATTCATCAATATCTGGAATATCTTTTGAACCGCACATTAAGTTTTGAACTTAAAATGGATCAGAGAAGAAGCTTTTCTTAGTTGAAAAGATTGTGAACTTTCCTTGTCCTCTTCTGTTCCATCTTCTTTTCCATTCTTAGATTTTATTTGCTTCTTTGAATCTTCCTGTTAATGCTTCGTTGTTTTTATTTATGTCTTGTTTATCATCTACTTTATCATCTATTTTTTCCTTCACGACTTTTTCCTGTGAGCTTCAAAATTCTTCTCAACATACCTACTGTTAATTGGTGTAAAGAGGTATTACCCAATAAATTAAGAGCCAGTAATAATCAAAATTTAAAGTGCACTGGGAAAATATTTAATACGGTATACCTTGATTAACTAAATTCCCGAATATTTATTTCTAATACTTGCACTAATTGAACAAAAGGCAAAAATATAGCAATAAAGATTCTATGGACAATCCTTTTTACACCTTTTTTTTCTTGACTGGTCATGGACCAGTGTCATTGGGTGTTTTCTACCGAGGTAGAGGGTGCTTTGGTGTCTTAATGGTTACAATCTCCCCTTTTAGAGTTTCCCTACGTCCTCGGGGATACTCTAAGTCAATTTTTGATGCATGATCGCCACATAAACAATTTGGAACTCTAATGCGGCGTCTGGGTCATCCAACTAATCTGGGCTCATCGTCATTTTCATTTCTTTCTTCGTTAGAACTCTCATTGTCATCAGCATGCAGTACATCTATGTTTTTCTGAGGAATAGCCTCGTCACCTTCGGGTATATTATCAGTTTCACTAAGGCGTCTTCTCATGGGTTTTCCACGTGGGCGTATAGGTCGTACTGGTGTTGGAACTTCTCCTTTTCCCACATAAGGTGCCATAGCTGACGTATGTAATTTGATAGTGGGATCTTCAGTGAACTCTATAGGTTTAACTCCACTTGTTGTTGAAGTGATAACCTTAGGAACCTCATATGGACCATCACCGCGTGGAGCAAATTTTGAAGTATAGGTATCTTTGACTTTGCTAATTGGATGTATATCCACCATCACTCGTAATGGGGTTTCTTCTCCTTTGGTCAGCATAATGTTTTGATTTATCTTGGGACTTTTCATGGAGCTCCCTTGCTTCTCTCAAGGTTCTAGCAATATTTATCAAATAAAGGAGGAATGAAATTTTCAGTTTCAGTGATAGCTCTCATGTCCCTTTGTACATTATCGGGTGTGCGGAGCTCTCGTCCAAATGTTAAATAGGCTGGGGTATATCCAGTACTGTCACATCTTGAGGTGCTCATGGCAAAACGCACGGACGGTAGTTTATTCTTCCATTGAGTGTGACAACCTCCTACTAGAATTGATAGTTGGATTTTCAAGTCGTGGTTTTTCCGTTCCACAGGATTAGACTCGGCATGATACACAGGTATTAAGTGCTGATGAAAACCAAGACAATGTGCTACATACTTTGGAAGTTGGAGAGTGCATTTTTCATTCCAAATGGCATCCTCGTATAACGGAAAATTCCAAATGAGCAAATAAATGCTGTTTTATCTCGATCAGATTCGCGGACAGAGACTTGATGGTATCCTGATTTTAAATCAAGAGTGGTCATATACTTTGCTTGTTTTTCAGTGTGTAATAGATCATCAATCCTAGGAAGTGGGTATTTATCGGCGAATACAACCATCAGGTTTAGGTACTAGAATAACTGGAGCAGCATACGGGAATTCGCATTCTTCTATGATTCCATCTTTCAGAAGCTTATCCAGTTCTGCCCTCAATATGTTTTTGTTTTGTTCAGACATCCGATAAGGTGGTACAGAAATTAGAATATCAATCAGTTTCACTGTACTAATTGAACAAAAGGCAAAAATATAGCAATACAGATTTCTAAAGTCAAAAATACGTGTTGACAACGCTGACATTTACTATGACAATCCCTTTTACACCTTTTTTTTCCCGACTGGTCATCGACCGGTGTCATTGGGTGTTTCGGTGTTTTTTACCGAGTTAGAGGGTGCTTTGGTGTCTTAAATGTTACATAAATAATTTTTCTTGAATTTCGATGGTTTTCATTAGAAATTGTCCTTGAAGAAATTATCGAATGAATCAATAGCCGGTAGTAATCATAAAGTGAGCTTGAGTTTTGGACTTTTGGATTCTGAAAACATACATCAACCAGTCTTTGGAATAAATGAGCGAAATTTATTTTATGATATAGGTTTTTGAATCTTCAGATTCAACAAGTTACTCACAAATAAAAAAAAAATCCAAGGGGCTTGAATCTGGGGAGCTCAATGGCTACCTAGATAGGCCAACTTCTTTCAATCCATCTACCTACCGAGCCAAACCTACTCCAGTAGGTAATGTTTCATTAGAACATTCCCTAACAAAAGCTATAAAATTTTCGTTCGAATATGGGACATCTTTGTATTGCTAGGAGTACTTTAGGTACTTCTTTATCTTCTTTAACTTCACTTGTATGTTATTGAATCGTTCATTGATTCATTTCTTATCATCATAATCTTTGTCCTTGAATGTGATTAGCTTACCATCGAAAAAGTTTCCCTTGCAATTTTCTATCCTAATGCAATTGTAACGTATCAACATTCTCTAAAAATCTGTAACGTGAATACTTTACAATCAGGGTTTCACGATATTCAAGAAATTTCTTCTTCTTGACTTGATCTTGACTTGAATTCAAGAAAATTTCAAGTAAAGAAATCTGAAACTGTGTTCAAGACATGTCATGATTCCCTATTTCAAGATCCAGATTTCTGGTCTAGAAACCAAGAAATTCTTGAATTTCTTGCAATTAACAGTTTTATAAGTGGCTGTAATAGTATATTGAAATACAAGTTACAGACTGCCACAATAGCCTTCGGCTATAATCGGGATCCCATACTACCATATGTATGAAGGTATCTCGTTCCTATACAAGATGATAGAAAAAGACACGAATACACTCAGTGCGCACTAATCCTTCCAATAGAATGAAGTCACGGAAGTACACGGAGTGAGATTCGACTTTCTCACTACGGACTAAATCGTTCGTTTGAACTCCAGATGATCATAGTCAAAAGTCTTTGAAGCTTTGCAGCAGCAAAACTATTGCAGCTGAATTGGCTTTAATTAAAGCCTAAGTATATTGAGATCGGATTGGAATTAAAAAAGTTATCAGGCAAAATGTATGTTGGTGTCATTTTAGGAAAGTTCGATTTCCAAAAAATTACATTGAGGCAGGTTTTATTTTTTTTTTGAAGAATACATTTGAGGGATTGGATTGAAATTTTGCAATTGGATAGAGGAAAGATCGAAATTTAGGTAAAAAATTTAAAATTTACTTCTGCTTTCTCATCCTAACAAAAATCGTAGTCAAAAGACTTTGAAGTTTTGCAGGTGCAAAACTATTGAAGCTGGATTGAAATTATTCACTGAAGAATCGTAGAGAATTTTCGTTGAGATCGGATTGAAATTAATAAAGTGGTGAGGCAAAATGTATGCTGGTGTCATTTTAGGAAAGTTCAAATTCTCAAAAAATTACATTGAGGCAGGTTTTTTTTTTGAGGGAATGGATTGAAATTTTGCAATTGGATAAAGGAAAGATCGAAATTTAGATGAAAAATTTAAAATTTTCTTCTGTAGACTTTGAAGCTTTGCAGCTCTTAAAACTATTGAAGCTGGATTGAAATTATTCAGTGGGGATTTGCAGAGAATTTAACTGGCTTTAATCAAAGTCTAATTACATTAAGATCGGTTTGAAATTAACAAAATTTTGAGGCAAAATGTGTGTTGATGTCATTCTGGGAAAGTTCACATTTCCAAAAAATTACATTGAGGGACGTTTTATTTTATTTATTTTTTGAGGGAAATGTTCGAAGGATTGGATTAAAATTTTGCAATGGGATAGAGGAAAGATCGAAATTTAGGTGAAAATTTTAAAATTTACTTCTGCTTTCTCATCCTAACAAAAATCGTAGTTAAAAGACTTTCAAACTTTGCAGCTGTGAAACTATTGAAGCGGCGAAAAATAAAGATAGCTTCTTTTCAAGATATCTTGAATTCAAGTCAAGAATTTTGCTTTCAAGAACCCATCGAGTCAAGACATGTTCAATTTCTTGATCTGGAATTTTAAGTCAAGTCAAGAAATTACGTTCAAGTCAAGATTTCTCGTCTCTATACAATAAATCCGATTCACTCTCCTCATAGATGAATAAATTATTTCCAACCATACATTTTCATCGTCTGCCATTTCAATGTAGCAACAAATTGCATTACTAAAAACCAATATGAATAAATAACTTTGTTGAACCTCACCCCTATAAACACGGAGTCACCTTTCGGCTCCAACAAATTCAAATGTCAACTGATAGGTTGCAACATTATTTTGGTATTTACAGCACTTTGTGTCTTTTGCGGCATTTATTTGTGTGAATCAGGTTCAAGGTGGTTTAAAAACAACATCAATGGTGATCGATTTTACTGTCTATTGTGGACATAGAAACCAGTTTTGTATTGAATTAATTGATACTGAGTAGGTATATGCCGCAACTTTCAATTGACCTGGATTTCTTTTTATTTTATTAAGCATTTTTTTCTTTTATCAATTCTATTTAAGTTTTTTGGTCAAACATTTCTCTAAACAAATGTTACTCATTAATAACATAAATCAAATTTATTTTGCAGCGTTTGCTCAAGATGACCAAGAATCAGAAGACGCCACACCAGAAGAATTGTGCTCAAACAGGCCAGCAGACGAGTATTTTAGGTTAAGCACAGATGGAGATTGCAGGGATGTAGTAAGGTAACTATTTTTAAAAATACACAACTATATAAGCTTATGATATCGATGAAATTTTATTACAGGTGCGATTTTAATAGTGATAATAACGGAGTCACTAGGCTAGCATCAGTTCGTTGTCCAGCAGGTTTGGCTTTCGACATTGATCGACAGACCTGTGATTGGAAAACTAACGTTAAAAATTGCGATAGTCTCGAGAGTAAGTCGACGTAGAAGATGTAGTGATTAAGAATAAAATCAATATTTTGTTTATGTATGTATTTTTGCCTAAAAAAACGCTCAACAGAGTCCGTTCTGGTCACTATTTCTTGGTCAAAATATTAATATTAAGACAGATAATTTTAACGTACAGGTGTACAAAGTCCGGTTTAAAACAAATCACTTGTCCCAGCGGATTGGCGTTTGACATCGACAAACAAACTTGTGACTGGAAGAGCAAAGTCACTACTTGCGATCAGCTGGAAAGTAAGTCGGTCGCACTCCGATGGGTGCGGTGAAGGCAGGATGTCGGGAATTTAATGGGGGAAAAAGAAAATTTTCGATATTGGTTTCTAATAATACACAGTGGCAATAATACCAAAAGTTCTCACAATAATTAACAATGAACGCTGCAAGTCATTATTTCAGTATCTTTTTGCATTTTCTGGTTCTCTCGTTGCGAGTCAATGTGCTTACCTTCATATAATTTTTGTAGTTTCCTTGGCCCATAACCTTCCAGATTCTGAAATTTACCAATTGGAAAAGTCTTTATTGTAACGATAAAGAAAACATCAAGGGGTTGGAGATTTTGTTTGGCCTCTTAATCGAGTTGCCTTTTCAATGCAATTGAAATGTATCTTTTCAACAGTTTGAGGAATTCCAATCAAAAACTTTTTTCTCAATCTTTTATGAAAATTTCTAACATCATTATCGAATTCCTGAGCAGTAAAAATGTTTCTCGTTGATGCATAAAAATACTGAATTAAACTTGATTGAAATCACAAGAAATAGATGCCAAAATAATTTGAAACCAACACGATTTTTTTTTTTAACGAGGGACAAAAAACACCGCAAAGGTTTTGGCCAAATGGGAATACCGTATAAAATTAAATTTATTACCGCTTCACACCAAACCGACAAAATATCAAACAAGAGTAGAAAGTAGATCCACCAAATTAGTTTTACTAACAAAACAATCTGTTCATTACTAATATTCACCGATTTTGCATGAAACACGTGCCTCTATTATGGCACCTATTTTGCATGGTAACTAACTAACTAACTGTATTCTTTAGTCTTATGGTTTCTTAGAATTGTTATGCAGAATTAAAACAGTTTCTGAAATTAATTTAATTTGACCTGTATTATTCAATATCAAAATGTTTTATTTCTAGCATAACATATTCTTATACTATTTCGTAATGCCGCCACTCTTGCATGTAACAATAGGTATTTATTTAATTGCTTGAATTTTTGCATGCCTAATTGTATATTTTTTTAATTCTATTTTTCTATAATGCGATTTTTATTGATCTATACCTACTTATTATTTTCTTCCATTCGTAACTAATAATTATTAGTTTATATTTTATTTCTTTAGTTTTCTTCTTGAATAATTTAGATTTTTTTTTTAAATATAACATTATTAATAATAATTTTCTTCTTTTTTTTGTGATTAACGTTTTCTTATTTTTTACTTTTCAACTTCATTCTCGTATCCTTCTTCTCTATAATTATGTTTTTCACCAATTTCTTTTCGACATCTACTTTCTATTTCAAATTTTGTAAATAAAGTGTACAAAACGCCAATCGATCGGTTTAGCATTTGAATAAGAGTAGGTAATACATAAAGAGAATGATTTGGTTTCAATTAGAGCAAATTTTAAAAAAGTTAAAAATAAGTAGTTGAATAGATAAGTAGTCGTCTTGTTTATAACGATACTACCAAATTTAGGCTCCGTCAAATTAGCCTCCCACATTCGAATTTTCTAACAATATTACAAATACTTACTGTGCTCGAAGTGTGTTTTACTGTGCCGATGATATTTTGAACTGTGCCGTTCCGATACCAAAGTTATAGGAAAAACAAGATGGGAGGCTAACCTGAAGATCAGCCCCCAAAAATTTTGGAAATCAGATCAAACAAAAATGGATTCTTATGCAATCTGAAGTGTGCTGTATCAGGTTTTTCTCAAAATTTCCATATTCGGTCATTTTCCGACAAAATATTACTGGGGGGCTAACTTCACGCTTAGCCCCCCCCCACAAAGTTTTGGAAATCAGATCAAACAAAAATTGATCCTTATGCAATCTGAAGTGTGCTGGACTGTACTATATCAGGTTTTTCCCAATATATCCATATTCGGTAATTTTCCGACAAAATTTTACTGAGGGAATAGCTTGACGCTCAGCCCCCCCAAAATTTTGGAGATCAGATTAAACAAATATGGATTCTTATTCAATCTGGAGTGGGCTGGACTATACTGTATCAGGTTTTTCTCAAAATTTTCATATTCGGTCATTTTCCGACCAAATCTCACTGGGGGGCTAACTTCACGCTCAGCCCCCCCCCAAAGTTCTAGAAATCAGATTGAATGAAATTGATTCTTATGCAATTTGAAGTGTGCTGGACTGTGCTGTATTTTTCCCAATATTTCCATATTCGGTAATTCTCTGACAAAATCTTACTGGGGGGCTAACTTGACGCTCAGCCCCCCCAAAATTTTGGAAATCAGATCAAAAAATTAGGATTCCTATTCAATCTGGAGTGGGCTAGACTATACTGTATCAAGTTTTTCTCATAATTTCCATATTCGGTCATTTTCCGACAAAATCCTACTGGGGGTGCTAACTTGACGCTCAGCCCCCAAAATCTTGAGGATGGAACCAAACAAAAATGAATTCCTATTCAATCTGAAGTGTAGACTAGACTGAATTTCAATTTTTTATCCCATTTTGACGTTTAAAAATGACATTATTGAACGCATAACAATAAAAGTAAGTAGACGTTTATCACCTCAGTGATTTAAAAACTTTTTAACTCACTCTCGGCATTTTAAGTCACTCTACCCAACTAAATCTGAAACCTCAGTGATTTAAAATATTTTTAACTCACTCCCGGCATTTTCTCTTGTACTTTATTTTCCAAATTTCCACAACATGGGATAAAATTTTGTATACATCACGTGAGTTAAAATGTTTATTCATGAGAAGACAGTTTAACCCACGAGCCCTAGCGAGTGGGTTAATTTTCTTCGAATTTAACTCACTTGGTGTATAAATAACTATTATAGGATACACTTTAATAGCGGAATCCGTTCGCAAAAATAATGTGGCACTCACTCACACCCACTCCGAGCGACCAAATATTTCCACTGGTTCACATTGGAAAAGAATCCATTTTTGTTTGATCTGATATCCAAAATTTTGTGAGGGCTGAGCGTCCAGTAGGATTTTGTCGGAAAATGACCAAATATAGAAATTTTGAGAAAAACCTGATACAGCACAGTTCAGCTAGCACACTTCAGATTCCATAAAAATTCATTTTTGTTTGAAATGATTTCCAAAATTTTGGAGGGGGCCGAGCATCAAATTAACCCCCCCCCCCCAGTAGGATGTTGTCGGTAAATGACCGAATATGGAAACTTTGAGAAAAACCTGATACAGCACAGTTCAGCACACTTCAGATTGCATAAGAATCCATTTTTGTTTGATCTGATTGCAGAGGCGGATTAAGGCACTGGTGGGCCCGGTACTAGTTAATTTTTTGGGGCCCCTATTTTTTTAGATAATGAAAGGAATGTGAAAAAAAAAATCATCAGTCATTATACTCACACCAACAATAATAAATAAATTTGGCTTCCGAGGGGATTCACGCACGATAATCACCTAACTCAGAAGTATTGATGATTATGCTGGCAAAGAAAGGTGCGTCTTTCCCATATACCTATCATACTGATGCAAGGTTTTTTGAGAGAGGTGTAGGTTGCCTAGATAATTTTATGACGTCATCTGGGGTGCCTCAACATAATGCAAATCTCCATAAGGCACCCCATAGAGGCGTCATCAAGTTACCCATTACCAGGCAACCTATTAACTTCAGGAACCTTCATACTGACGTATATCGCGGGTGGTTTCGAATTGGTGAAGCAAACAATATGAGATGAAAGTACGCCATCTTTGCCTAGGGAGAATTTTGTTTTCTAATGCGCATGCGTTAACATAAGATTATTCCACCAATAGTAGGTAAGCATCAATTTTAAGCAGCTGATATTGCAGGGTTGTCTGTCATAAAGAAATTAAATAAAGAAACCACCAGAGAAACACAGCAACTCAAAATAACGCATGATAACAGATCTGTTTCTGCAGAAATCACAAACCAGTCAGAGTGTATTTCATTGGTTCAAACTAATTTTCTGACTGTTTTCAACCAATAAAATTCGTTCTAACTGGTTTATGATTTCTGAAGAAACAGACCTAACCCAGAGTTATGGGAGAGTTGATGGTTAGAATAGAATAAGGGTCCATCCTGCGCAACTGGCCGAATTTGAAGAACCGTCATTTTTATCACTTGTCAAATCAAGTGTTGGAAAATAGGTCATGAACAACTCATAACTCCAAGAATAAGCAGAAATAACAAAAAGAAATCTTTTAAAACACCGTTCTGATAAAAATATCTCAGAAAAAGCAGGAAAAATCAACAAAAACAACAATCTGTAACCGACCAAAAGTAAGGTTATGTTGTGAAAAATTTGTCAGATTGAAGTTGTCAACGTAAAGACTAATGGTGTTTCCGATTTCGTATTCTCATCCTTTTTCATCAACCTGTAGAAGAAAAAGACAGAAATAAAGAAATCTGCACTAGATTTTCTTAAACGGAAACGGCATAAGTGAAAAGTGATAAAAATGGCGGCACCCTATGCGTTACCAGAAAATCGGATGCGCAGTCGTCTAAGCGCATTCTATTTCCCTCACATATCTCTGACCTAACCTCAACTTGATGTGACATTCACTAAATAAACTTTTACATACAGTGACGATAATATGGGATCCACCGCCATTTTGGGGCTTACCTCTTGCTTATTTTAAATATGAATTTGCGTTTGCACCGACCATTTTAAGGTTAGCAATAAGTATTCCTTAAAGTGACATTTCTCCATGTAAAAAAGTCATGTTAAGGGTCAGTTTTACAGCGTTAACCACAAGACACTGATGGTAACCCGCAATATATCTGGTTTGAAAATGTGTCGTTGAGCCAAAACCATTGATCAAAGTTCAGGTTATTTAACTCAATTTTTATTTTGCGAAGTTGTGGTTGGACCGCAACTATTAGACCTAGTTTCACAATTGCTGGAACCTCCAGTGGTTAGTAAACTAATAGTTGCGGGTTGACCACAAGTTTGCAAAATAAGTCTTAAGGTAAATATTCTGTAGCTTGACCAATGGTTTTGGCTAAACCACATATTATGAAACAGATATACCTACTGTGGGTTACTAGTGTGTTGTAGTTACCGTTGGGTTACGGCTGTTTGTGAAACTGGCCGTTAGTTTGATAACCAGTGTAGGTTACCACCAATTGTGAAAGTGGGCCTCTGGAGTACCTATCGCTAAGGCTTCCTTAAAATGGTCGGTGCAAACGGCCATTTAATGGACATCTATAATAGAAAATTGAAAACATGTATCCGATGACTATAATGAGGTTCTTCAAATACGTTGTTTCTTGGGCCTTCAAATCCTATATATTCATATTTAAAATTTGCAAGAGGTAAGCCCCAAAATGGCGGCGTTTTCCATATAAATATATCGGATTTCGAAGAACCAATCAAAAATGAGACGGTGCCATGTTGTGATTCAATATGGTAACATAGTTATAGGCTGATGGTTTATAATCTTGTTAAGCCAGCTTTTGGAAGAATTTTGGCAATGTTTGTCGTACATTCAAGTTTAAATTTTTTGTCTAATCTTCGATCTCGCGAGGGCCCGTTGGAACGTTGGGCCCGGTTCTATAGCACCGGTAGAACCCCCCTTAATCCAGGCCTGTCTGCCAAAATTTTTGGGGGGCTGAGCGTCAAGTTAGCGCCTCATCTTGTTTTTTTATAACTTTGGTATCGGAACGGCACAGTTCAAAATATCATCGGCACAGTGAAGCATACTTCGAGTACAGTAGGTGGTTTCAATTTTGTTAGAAAATTCAATTGTGGGGGGGGGCTAACTTGTCGGAGCCCCAAATTTAAAATTTGTTCCTTGTAATCAGGGTTAAAAGAGCAATAAATAATCGCAATGAATATATAAATTCACCTAGGGGTTAAACTTTCTCATATTATGTATTACTTTTCTCTACAATCTCAGCGTCGCAAAGAATCCCTGTACAGATAATCGTAAAAAACAAATTTCCAAAAAAATAAGTTTAATCCATTTTCTAACCAAAACTACCCCCAAACTTTAGAACCCAGAAAAATCAAACCAATCCTCAAAACCGACGAGCCAGTCTGTCCCGATGGCAAATTGTCTTGCGGTAATGGAGAATGCGTCGACAAAGAACTTTTCTGCAATGGAAAACCCGACTGTAAAGACGAATCTGACGAAAATGCTTGCTGTAAGTAAATTCCAATAAAAATCGACTTTTAATCACTAATCAACTCTGTAGCCGTCGACGAAGATCCAAACAGAGCTCCAGACTGCGACACCACCCAATGCGTCCTGCCCGACTGTTTCTGTTCAGCTGACGGAACCCGAATTCCTGGTGCTTTGGAACCCGCCAACGTACCACAAATGATCACCATCACCTTCAACGGTGCCGTCAATGTTGACAACATCGATTTGTACGACGAAGTCTTCAACGGCCAAAGAGCCAATCCCAACGGTTGCCAAATCAGAGGTACCTATTTCGTGTCGCACAAGTACACCAATTACAGTGCCGTGCAAGAATTGCACAGAAAAGGCCACGAAATCGCTGTGTTTTCGCTGACGCACAAAGAAGATCCTAATTATTGGAGCGGAGGCTCTTACGATGATTGGTTAGCTGAAATGGCTGGAGCTAGATTGATTGTTGAACGTTTCGCTAATCTGACCGATGGTTCTATTATCGGAGTCCGTGCCCCTTATTTGAGAGTGGGTGGAAACAAACAATTCGAAATGATGGCTGACCAGTTCTTCGTTTACGACGCTTCAATCACAGCTTCTTTGGGCCGCGTACCAATCTGGCCGTACACTCTATACTTCAGAATGCCTCACAAATGTAACGGAAACGCTCACAATTGTCCATCCAGATCGCATCCAGTTTGGGAAATTGTCATGAACGAACTTGACAGACGTGACGATCCAAGTTTCGATGAATCTTTGCCTGGTTGTCATATGGTCGACTCGTGCTCCAACATTCAAAGTGGTGAACAATTTGCTCGTCTCTTGAGACACAACTTCAACCGTCACTTCAACAGCAACAGGGCTCCATTAGGTCTTCACTTCCACGCTTCATGGCTCAAGAGCAAAAAAGAATTCAAGGAAGAACTCATCAAGTTCATCGAAGAAATGTTGGCCCGTAATGACGTTTACTTCGTTACTAATTTGCAAGTTATCCAATGGATGCAAAACCCCACTGAACTCAACGGTCTCCGTGATTTCCAAGAATGGAAAGAAAAATGTGATATCAAGGGGCAACCTTATTGTTCCCTTCCTAATTCTTGCGCATTGAACACAAGAGAATTGCCAGGTGAAACTTTACGTTTGTTCACTTGCATGGAATGTCCCAACAACTATCCCTGGATATTGGATCCCACAGGAGATGGTTTCTCCGTAAGAAAGTAAATTAATATTTATTGAATCACCCCAATTTAGGAATTAAATTTGAAGACTTTGTGTATATAGTTAATTTGTAATTTCCTACTTTTTGCATCCACGATTTTTTTTTATTATAGTTAGAAGTAGACTTGCCACAAGAAGTGTATTTTGTTTCCGACATTTTTTCGTATCCGCAAGACAATGTTACAGGTTTTAGAAAAATAAAATAAAACATGTTTGTTGAAAAATAAATATTACAAAAAAAAAAATACTAGCATTGAGTTTTATTTGAACAATTTTATGAAAAAGTTGTCTCGAATTTCCTTTGCACTGTTAGGTGTAAGTTAATTTAATAGTTGCTGTTTCTGTCTACCTCCTCAACCTTTCCATGTTAGTATAAATTCAATCCTATGTACAGTTTTTGAATAATCATACAGTTTTGTTTATTTTCGTATGGTTCTCCATTCGTAGGTCGATCGAGTGTACGCCACTGGTATTTTCCTGTTTCTAGCTACCCATATTTTGAAAATAACTTACTCTATCACCTCCCAAAGTATATGCATCGGCCTACCAAGCACCCTGTAGAATTTTCAGAGCATGGATGGTGTTGAAGTAATTTGTATTTTTTATTAGTGCTTTATTTGTAATGAATGTTATATAATCAATATACGACAGGCCCAGGTCCAGAACAACTCCTGGGTCGTATTTTCGAATATTTTCGCATACGAACTTTGATACGATTTCGAATGCTCTCCATTTAATTTACATTGCTGTCAATCAAATTTCGTGTACGAAATGTACTCGAATGAATTCGAAAATACGACCCCCATTATGGTTTCAGAGGCTGTGAGAATTTCACCCTTGATTGTATAGCTATAGGTTGTTATCAGAGCTGGGAGTAACGACAAAAAAAAGTTACTTTACTTTAACGAGTTACTGAAAGTAACGCGTTACTTGGTAATTTCGTTACTTTTCAGATTGATTGATAAGTAACTGTCACGACGTTACTTTCCTGAAGTAACGCTGGAAGTAACGCTGGAAGTAACGCGTTACTAGTTACTATGAAAGTAAACTCGTTCTTTCAATTTGTTTATCTTCTTTACAAATAATTGATGAGTGAGGAAAAGGAAAATAAGTAATCCAAAAACTTTGTATGTCAAATAAAATGTTGGTAGTACAGAAAGTTTGTTTTGAAAGCTCAAAATAATCGTTTTTGGGCGTGCCACGCGCCGCCTCTGCTCTAAAGACACTATATGCAGACATTGGGACGCTTCAAAGAGAGGTTTGTCCAAAACCAAGTGCTCTATTCAGTCTCTTAATCCCTAATCCGTTTGAATTTTGCAAGAATACTCTTCCACATAGTCGGACTTACAAACTAAAAACATATTGGCATTTCGTATAGGTCTTATTTGATTGTTTGGACTGCTGTGTTGGTGAGTCTAATTAAGGAATAACGCAATTTTCGACATAAATAGTTATTTTTGAAGTAACGCGTTACTTTAAAAGTAACGAACTACTTTTAAAGTAAAGAAGTTACTTTCAAAGTAAAGAAGTTACAGTAACGCGTTACTTTCCAATAAGTAACGAAAATAAAGTTATCATTATTCGAAAGTAACTGTAAATTTTAAGTAACGAGTTATTTTTAAGCAAAAGTAACTGTAAAGTAACGCGTTACTTTTTTCAAGTAACGATCCCAGCTCTGGTTGTTATGTTTCTTTTTTTAGATAAAATCATTAGTTTGCACTTTGTGGTACTAAGCTCCATCCCATTTGAGTCACGCCACTCCACAAACCTATTCAAATCTCTCTGCAGATCTAAGCAGTCTCCCGAATCCGAAATTATTTTGGATGACTTTACGTCATCAGCAGAAAATAAAGAAAAAGTAGATTTGAAGCAGGAGGCAGCATCATTAACAAAGCAGTTGAAGATAAATGGGGTGTGAGTCCTAAACAATCAAGAGCCGGTAATAGTTCAAGTCTTTGATTAGCTGGAAATTTTCTAGAGCTCCCAGTTTCACTTTGGAATCCAAATTACCGACTCTCGAGTTCCTCGGTAACTGGTAACTTTTCTAGACAATCAAGAGCCGGTCATAGTTGAAATATTGATAATTACCAGCTCTGGAGCTGCTGGGTAGTTTTTCTAGACAATCAAGAGCCGGTAAAAGTTCAAATTTTGATTATTACCGGAACTTGAATCGCTGGAAAATTTGTCTAGACAGTCAAGAGCCGGTAATAGTTCAAATTTTGATTTTTACCGGCTGTTGAGTAACTCAGTAATTTTTTCAGAAAATAAAGAGCTTGTAATAGTTCAAATTTTGTGTATTACCGGCTCTTTGAGTCACTCAATAATTTTTCTAGACAATCAAGAGCCGGTAATAGTTCAAATTTTGATGATTACCGGCTGTTGATTAGCTGGAAATTTTCTAGAGCTCTTAATATCACTTTGAAACCCAAATTTTGATTATCTCCGGCTCTTGAGTCCCTCGGTAACTTTTCAAGACAATCAAGAGCCGGTGCAAATTTTGTTTATTACCAGCTCTCGAGTCGCTCCGTAATTTTTCCAGAAAATCGAGAGCCGTTAATAGTTCAAATCTGGATTATAACCGGCTCTTGCCCAGATATTGCAGCTCCTCCCCAGGACGTCCGTTTTAGATTCCATGTAAGTCGTACGTCCCAGACTGAAATTTCCTCATTATTAGTTTGTTCATATAAAAATTTCTGACCTGAGAACAACTGATTTTGAATGAGTTTTATTAGTTTATTGAAAATGAGTGTTGTGATGTACACATCATGGATATTTTTCTGATTTCCAGCCCTGATGACGGCACAAATTGGTGCCAAAACGTTGGAGCTATAAATCAATAATAAAAACTAGCCCAAAGAAGCGAAGGTTTGTGTCAAAATTGTGGCCAAACGCAATATTTACTGCAGTAGGGGAAAAACTTCTTATATAAAATGTTAGATGCATCTAGCACCAAAAAAACATGTGATTTAATCAAGAAACATGATATTTCATAAGCATGGTCCTACAAATTAATATTGCTGGTTGAAGCTATTTTTAGCCTCACATCAGGAACATAAACGCAAAATGACAATTAAGGCCCCCCAACCTTCGTTTTCACTGACCTTTTTCTACCTTGAAACTAAACAAATTACACGAAATATTTTAGGTAGGTCACGGAATGCCTTTTAATGTCTCGAGATTTTTAAAACTTTAATATGGAAGACATTTAGGCCAAGGCGGCAGCAACATTTTATCGGTTCACACTTTATTGGAATTAATAAAAAACTAATAGTTCTAGAGGTTTATGACCGATTAAATTCCATTTATGAGTCTCTAACATGCAAGTCAAGGGCAAAAACTTTTCAGATAAAAAAAGGTGTGCCATAGTCGCCACAATTATCAAAACTGACCAGGACATAAAGTAGGAATTATTAAAGTACAAAAAAAAAATTAGGTAGTGATACCTGTAATTATGTCTGTGCTGAATCCCTTGAAAGAAAATAGATGGAATTAATCAAGCCTTTATAATGGTTGTATAATACCTATCATTATTCTCCTGGGACTTTAATAAATTGTGTAAATCTATCTGGCTCGGTTTTTTGATGCAAAAGTTTTTACGATTCCGTCTGATAATAATTATCATAAAAATCGTTTACCTAAATTTATCATTATGGCAATACTGCGACACAATCTGTTTTAATTATTGTGGTTCAACCTTCACCTTTTATAACTGCACTGCGCGTATATTTTGCAGCTGAATGGAAATACGATAATAATTATTATGGTAAGTACTATAAAAATGATTATCATTTTCAAAGCAGTAAAAAGGCAAAATTCCTTAGCAAACTTCTATAAGATTTTTATCCTTCGATATCAAGAAACTTATTGTGAAATGTCGTGTCATTTTTATTTAATGCGTCGTTTATCTTGATACGGAAATTGATAAAAAGCGATATCAAGAAATTTCGGAAGTGAAAAGTCGATGAAAGCTTTTATTGGAGAAGGTTTTTTATTATTAGTTAATGGTTTGCAATCAATCATCAAAATGTTAATTTTGGAAAAGTGGCTCTAAAAGCTCTGAACTTTGAGTTCTCGTATTGATACCAGGTCAAATATTAGTGGGGTCTGTTCTAAAGTGGGGTTGAATTATTGTCAATTATCATATGAAAAATTATCCAAAGTGATTTGGTACCTACCTACTATCCAAATAATTTTTTCTTCAGATTGATGTTTAGGTACTTAGGTATCTACTTAAATAATAAGGATTGGATTCAAGGACAAGCTATCTACGTTATGTAAAATCCGTAATCAATATAAATATGGCTCGATTAGACATCTTTATATTGTACTACAAAAGGTTATAGTAGTCTTCTACCAGAATAAGATTTTCTGAAAATTTCAGAATTATAACTACGGTGCATTTTAGGATATGAAATTTCAAAGTTTCTAGACAATTATCTGAAATGGTTACATATTATTAATATTTTATTTATTTTTAACCTTTCTCAAATTTCTAGAGCCTTATTTTATCTCTAATCAATAGTAATTATTGTAGTCAGTGTTTGCAAACAAATTACCCTATATTTCTCGTATGTAAATGTCAACAAATTGATGGTCCTTTTCAATAGAAATAATGTGTCTAGACCGGATAAAGATTTGATGGTGGGAATTCATTATCCATTTCAAAAGGTTTATCTCTACTTGACTGTTAGTAATTTTGAATTGATGAAACATTAACTTCACTTTTGGGTCAATTAGTTGAAAGTTAATGAGGAATAGTTTCGAGAGGGGTATAATCTGATGCAAGATAGGAGCCTCTAAAATGTTAAATTTTAATTTTGATACAATTTGTTACATGTATTTCACGACTACAATGACCTCTAGACGCGTCTCAGTACCTCGGTCGTACAAATCATATCGCAAAGTCTAGACGGTTCTTCAGCAAGTTATCCTGTCTGAACATGTCATGCCAAGAACTGCTCCATCATCGCAACGCTCCCATAGAAACAGCAAGTTCAACATATTTTAAAATATAAAACACCCTGTCTCTTGAGTTTAGTCGTCATTATTAAGTTAGTTAAGTTAATGTCCAATATAATATTTGTAACCTGTATTTTAAAATAAATTAGTGTTTTTTTAAAGAGTGTCTTCAAAAGTTTTTGAGGTAACAATTTGGCGCAGTCGGTAGGATATGTCAACGCTGTCAGAACAAGAATATTTTAACTGATAGCGGCGGATTCTAATCTTTTAAACAGAAAAAGAACGGAAGAATCCCAACTTATAGTGAACACGATGAGAACACGACGATTCCATGGAGCCTATTCTTTCAATGTAAGTATTTAAAAGAGAAAATAACTATGTCAGCAACTTGAGTAATAAGCTCAAAAAACAATATGCACAAGGAAAGTTCGAGAACGCCGGGGTGCCTAAACATAATGCAAATCTCCATTAGGCACCCCAGATGACGTCATCCATTACCAGGCAACCTATTAACTTTAGGAACCTTGGGCCCTGTTATGGTATTTTTAATACCCATTTAGAATAACCCCATTCTTATTTATCAATCACGAATCAGATGAAACAAAAAATTACCAACAAAAACGAACGTCGATTGCTAAATACGTCGAAGCTTAGGTCGAAGTAAGGAAATTCCTTTATATGAAATTCCTAACCTACTTTTATTTATGTATAGGGCAATCCAACGACCTGTCAAAATAAAATTCAAAATGGAGGCCAATGCCTTTTTATTTTAAAAAATACTGTTTTATTGCGATTTTTCATTTGTATAAAGTCTGTGAAGTGTTGATTTTTTGGAAAATGCATATGTTATGTATTGTATTTAGTTGTGGGAGCCGTTCTAATCGCGAGAAAGCCTCGTTTCATGCCGTTCCTGCAGAGACAAGACACAGGTTTTTAATGGAGAAAAACGATTTGTCTGTACTTTGTAAGGGGCTTCATGGATTGTAGCAAAAGAGAAAAAATCCAACGAAATTCATATTGAAAAACCAAACAGTCTCTACATAAACGGTGTATGGATCCAACTCATTTACTATCCTCCACATCAACTTGTGTCGATACCTTGAATAGCATACAAATAAAATAAACATCAGGATTCAGGATTTGGTTAAGAAAAAACTAAACAGGAAACAAATCCTGGATAGTACCTACCTAATTGTTTAGTAGGTAAAGGTTTGTCACAAAGAAATCATAATTTTTGCAAATATCCGGGTTTTTCACTAATAATTTCTTAAACTAAAAACTTTCCATCTTAAAATACGAAAATTATCCTCCCGAACACTAGAGAATCATCTTAAAACACCACAAAACAAAATACACAAGAAACAGTTTTTTGATGAAAAATGATACGGTTGTTTGAATTAAATTTATGGTGCCAATTTTTTTGGCATTGACCGCCATTTTGTTGGGATTGCCCTATTAAGCATAGTACTCATAACTGCGAAATTCGCTCTTTTTTGACATTTCTTCGACAATTTGACGTTTTCTGCGATCGGTCATCTTGACAGTTAAACCATTAATTAAACGTCATGTGTTGGTCATAACTGACGTTAAATGCATTGCTTATCTGTCAAGATGACTGACTGGTCAATCGCTTGAATTTGGCTAATGTCAAAAAAAGCGAATTTCGCAGTTATGAGTACTAGGCTTTAGGCAATTCAATAACCACGTGACCTTCAAGATGGCGTGGCGGCCACACATGGGCCAAACTTCATTTTTTATTAGTCGTGTGCTGTCTGCTGTTTTTTCGAAGTTTCACAATTTTATGTGCTTTAAGGGGTATTTGTGAGAGGTAAAATCTGTTAAGTGCAATACAAGACATTATCATTTTGCAGAGCAGTCTATATTTGCAAGAACTTGGTGCCCAGTCAAGATTATCCACATCCCCGAGACAGGAATGAAACTTCCTACCGAGGTTTCTATACTATTTTATTTACAACAATTACAACCATCACAATTTTTGACTAAATGCTAAATAAAAATTAAAAAATTTTGTTGACAGGCTCTTTAGTAGTTTAAAAAAAGTTTGACATGCAGGACTTGTGTTCAACATTTTAGGAAATCTGGGCTTACTTTCCGCCCGGGAGGAAAGTAAAATTCAAAAAATTGTCACTTTCAAACTTTTGAAAAGTCATAAATGTCAACATTACGTATGTGGTTGTAACAATGAACTATAACCAAAAACTGGAATGCGAACACATAAGGACGAACGTGAAGCCTAGTGCGGCTGCTGCGGAGGGGATACCTGTTTTTGTCGCACTCATTATGTTAAATGGCGAAAATTGCTTCCAACACGTATTCCAATTGATGAAACCTGTGAAGGGAAATATGACAAAACTTTCGAAAACGTCATATGTCAGCGAGCAACAGAAGAAAACAACCTTCCCCCTTGTGGCATCTGTCTTTCATGGCTTCATTTTTTTGGCAGATATGGCAATGTGTGCGCATTCCAGTTTTTAGCTATAGTTCATTGGGTTGTAACTTGTAACATTGAACCAATGAACTATAGCTAAAAACTGGAATGCGCACACATTGCCATATCTGCCAAAAAAATGAAGCCATGAAAGACAGATGCCACAAGGGGGAATGTTGTTTTTTTCTGTTGCTCGCTGATATATGACGTTTTCGAAAGTTTTGTCATATTTCCCTTCACAGGTTTCATCAATTGGAATACGTGTTGGAAGCAATTTTCGCCATTTAACATAATGAGTGCGACAAAAACAGGTATCCCCTCCGCAGCAGCCGCACTAGGCTTCAAGCCGTGCGTTCGTTATTTTGGTCTGAGTTCTCCGAGCATGACTTTACCGTTCGTTTATTCAAAAAGTGTACTCGGTGCAGCCTCATTCGCGTTCGTTTATTAAAATTTCTGGCACTTTTATATAGCATTCAACTGCTCTGTTCCCTCGCTGGTCACGTGATTACGGCTCCGCTCAGCACGCTCTGCTCTTCGAGCAAAATACCGAACGTAAGGAAGTTCGTCCTTATGTGTTAGCATTCCAGTTTATGGTTATAGTTCATTGCATTAAACTAAACAAACACTTTAGAACGGGCGCACTGCTTTATGCTAGTGTGCTAAATTTTGATATGTGCAACCCAGCAATACGGAGGGACTATTGTCTCGCTCGCACTCATTGCGGTTGATGTAAAAAGAAGAAGAGCTTCTTCATCCTCCTAACTTCAATGATCCAAACACTTCAAACAGCTGTTCTCTATAGCCGCCATAGTGCAGTTGTTTAGTTCATTGGGTTGTAAATAATAGACACTTTAAGCAGGTCCTGAATTGACCTTTTGTTTGGACGCCATATTGCGGTGCGCGAACATAGTTGCCAACAGTAGAAAAAAAATTTATTAGCGTTCTGTCAACTTTAAAATCCAAAGTTAATGAATAAATTACATTTAAAATTTAAATTTACCGCCTATTACGAATGTTTTTGGAAAGAAAAACCATCAATTTTAACTTGTATTGAGCAGAATAGAAATAATAAAATATCTAGTTGACAGCCCGCTAGTAATTTTTGGTTTTCTTGTTTTGGCAACTATGTTCGCGCACCGCAATATGGCGTCAAAACAAAAGGTCAATTCAAACGTATCCGTATCCGCATCGATCTGCGCATGCGCAGAATAGATACGGAGGCTTCGTTGCGTTGCGTTCTCCGTATTAAGCCGCGTCCAGATTAGTAAATAAATGCGTTGCGTTGAATTGACCTTTTGTTTCGACGCCATATTGCGGTGCGCGAACATAGTTGCCAAAACAAGAAAACCAAAAATTACTAGCGGGGTGTCAACTAGATATTTTATTATTTCTATTCTGTCCAATACAATCTAAAATTGATGGCGTTTCTTTCCAAAAACATTCGTAATAGGCGGTAAATTTAAATTTTAAATGTAATTTATTCATTAACTTTGGATTTTAAAGTTGACAGAACGCTAATAAATTTTTTTTCTACTGTTGGCAACTATGTTCGCGCACCGCAATATGGCGTCCAAACAAAAGGTCAATTCGGGATTCGCTACAAATTTTTGCGAAGCAAATTTGACATCTGGACTGACATAAATATTTGTGTTGTGCGCCGTACGTTCTTGCTCAACGCGTGTGTGCTTATTTTATTTCAGTGTGCGCGTTGCTTGTTTTTCGTTATTTGTTTCGTTTGCGAAAAAATGCGTCCACACTAAAACGATGTTGCGCCGCAAATTTCTTTGATGTCTTGAAAAAAACCAACAAGCCGCGGATCGCGTGCGGTGAATGCCGCGAAAATTTTTGCGTGCGTCCGTTTGTGGCGAACAGGTCCACACTCGTATAAATTTGTATCGCTCACACAAATTTGTGCCGAATACCACGCACAACGTAAATTTTTACTAATGTGGACGCGGCTTTAGACACTTTAAGCAGGTCGGAATTCCAAACGTATCCGTATCCGCAACGATCTGCGCATGCGCTGAATAGATACGGTGGTGGCGAGGCCCGTAACGATACGCACAACGCAACGCAACGAAACCACCGTATCTATTCAGCGCATGCGCAGATCGATGCGGATACGGATACGTTTGGAATGCTAATACGGACAACGCAACGCAACGAAACCTCCGTATCTAGTCTGCACATGCGCAGATCGATACGGATACAGATACGTTTGAATTCAGATATTTTTGAACCATCTGGCAACCCTGGCTGTCACATATGTGTCATCTTTTTTTTTTAGGTTATGCTTATTTGTTGTTTACTTTCAAATTTCAAAACTTTCAAAGATTTTTGAAACCTTTTTCTTCATAAAACTCCTATAAAATTAACATTTAAAAATGCCGAAAGTCGTGTCCAGAAGTATAGCTTGTTCGGACACCAAAGATCAGGAAGAATACGGCGACGAAAAGCCTTTACACATTTACTATTGCTTGTGTGGCCAAATGACCCTTATTTTAGGTAAAATTTCCTTTTTTTCTTACTACTCGGGCAACAACTAATTCATTTTAAAGATTGCTCCATGGAAAAACTTCCTCTAAGAAAACGGGATGGTGCTAGGGTATTGGATGGGACAAATCATGCACATAAAATCACTTGCGACTCAGATGAGACTGTTTATTTGAAAAGAAACGAAGGAATTGAAAGGCAATACAGGTATAAACACGATAAGCTTTTTCTTCAGCTATTTATTTGAAACAAATCTTTTTTTAGGCTAAAATGCAAAAAATGCAACCTACTGCTCTACTATAAACATGATCCTCAAAGTCCTGTAAGTTTTATTGTGAGAGGCTCCCTTATAACATCAACAAATGAAGGGCCTATTACTGATATTTACAATCAGGTAAAAACTTTTCAATAATAATATCTAAGTTGCTAAATTTTTTTGATTCCCAGGTAGCAATTGAAAAACCCAAGAAAATTATGGTAACAAAACACACTAAAAATATGGGCAAGTTTAGTTCAGTTACTGTATCTACAATTGACGAGGAAGAGGATGAAATAGAAGCCGTAGGTTTTCTTTTAAATTTTTATTTCAACATGGTCTTACATCAATTTCATATCCTAACTAAAATCACTCTTATAAGTACCCTAGTTTAATTTTTTTCGCAAGCTAAACATGGATTCTGGTTATCAAAATATCACATTTTACCCCAACAAAAAAAAACTCCAATACATAAACTCCTTAAAAAAAAAAACAACCTAAAAATTATCTCAATATGTACAAACTATACACTATATACAATATAATTATATTATTTTCTTGTGTTAATTACAGCGCGAAGTGGCAGACAGTTATGCGAATAATGCAAGGATAATTGAAAAACAATTGGAAAGAAAGGGCATGAACAAGAGGAAACAAGAACAAGGAAAAGTACAAGAGACTAAGAAAGTTAGAGGAACATTAATCGATAAATAATAATTATATAAGTAGATTTTTATTCCAACAAAATAATAAGTAATAATCATTTATCACTTCACAATAAATTTACTGGTAAAAAAAAACATATTTGTATAATTAGTTATTGAGCAAGATTGTCTTGCTTGACTAGAACCGTTGCTATTTAAACAGAAGTGGTGTGGTCTCCCCTGCTGAACGTACTACGCGTATGGATTTCCTGCAACAAACAAAAAAATAATTTTTTCACCAGGAATTTAATAGACATAAATGTGAAATTAGTTAAACACATACCTGTAACAGCCCCTGTTTATCAGACCTAATAAAAACGTTATTGAATGTACATATATATACACAAGCTGTAATCAGATGTACACCAGAAATAATAAATTAATTAATTAAACCAATGAAACAATAGTTAAAGTGATGTTACTAGAAATTTTTTGATGCGGTTTTTGACTGTTTTTTCGAAATAGTGAATATAAATGTTATGGAAATGTTAAATAGAAAAGTGAGTTATGTGGATGGGTGGCAGTCCAAATACCCCACAAAGGAGAGGGGTGTAAATAATCAAAATCACAATAATCGCCACCTGTTTTATTGCCATACGGTTAAACGGAGTCCCCGATGTTTCAAAAACAGAAAATCTCTAATGCCAAACGGTGCTTTTATAAAAAAAAAAACTCATGGGAATTGAATAAAACCCATGAAAATCAAGTCAATAACTCTATAATGATCTCTATTAACATTTTTTGTATATATTTTTTTTAAATCCTATTTGCATACTGTATAGTAAACACCGATAGTTTTCTAGGGTGCACCAGTTGTAGATTCACAATTCAGGATAGGTTGGTGGATGCACCACCCAAATAAGGGGCTTCAGTATAAATAGATAAGTTGAGGTTGAGCGTACAGCGTCACCAAAAAGCAAAACACTTGAAATGCCACAGCTCTCTCAGTCTGCAGTTTATAACTGCTTTAAATGTCAAAATCCTTGTAAGCCTAAAGATGAGAAAAGTGAGCTTTTTGGATTCCCCTGTGATTCCTGCAAAAGAATCATATGCAAGACCTGCTCGCGTATTTCCAGCTCGTAAGTCCGCTGCCTAATAATGCAGAGTAGAGTGAATGCATGGAAAGCCTAAGGGATCTTAATGGACTGGTAAAAGGCATTGGAAAGGAGATGAGCGACGCTCGCATCGAACTTGAGCATGAAATATATGATCTGTCCCAGGATTTAGAACAGAAATTGAAGGAGGTGAACAAGGAAATGGTTCGAATCAACAATGAAACCAAAAGTGAAACCTTACAGGAAATTCGAAGAATAATTAATGATGAAGTTTCCACCATCAAGGAACCACCAAAAACGTATGCCCAAGTAGTAACTGACACCAACACCCTAAAGAGTCTGTGGTTTATAACTGGCAATGAGAGATCGCAGGGCCTGATTTGACAAATTTATTTTTTTTGACAAATTAAAATGAATGACTTCTGGTTCAAGAACCGACGAACGTTTTTGACGTTATTAATTTGTTTCAGTTAATTTCTATTTGTTAAACAAGGAAGACAAATGCTGGTAGCAAGTACAAACCGGTGAAACAGACTTTAACGTCATTCCAGGGGTTAACTTTTAGATATTCTGTCAAAATAGTTTTATACCCGCGATAAGAAGGCAAATACACTCATTTACCTTATACAATGAGCATTCTGTAATACCTCAGTAGAAATGGTATCTAAACTATATATAAAACTTATGTTCGTCCCAAAATAGACTATGCCTGTTCAGTGTGGAGTCCATATTTTGTTAAAGATATTGAAATCCTTGAAAGAGTTCAGAGAATAATGACAAAAATTTCTGATGAAAGAAGACATTTATCATATCCGGAGAGATTAGAAATATTTCAAATATCATCTCTAAAAGAAAGACGAGAATGTGGAGACATGATCCAGGTTTTCAAAACTCTTTCAGGCTCATTAATAATCCATCTCAATGGAAGAAGGAAATTGCGAGGACATTCAAAAAAAATAAACAAGGAAAAGAGCCACCTGCTTATCAGAAAAAACTTTATAACAAATCGGGTGGTATATAAGTGGAACTCGCTTGAGGAAGAAACAGTGACAGCTCCAAGTGTAAACGCATTCAAGAATAGACTAGACAACAAGCTGCAGTCATTAAAATCTGTGCATTGAACAATCAATTCATTCAGAGAATGTACGGCTGAAACTCAGGACCTAATACCAAGTCAGTAAGACGTTGAAAGGTTGCAGGGGCATTATGAATGCCAAAAGGAAGTCTGCAGAATTGAAAAAGTTTACGCCCTGGAACCGTGAACGCTGTGTAATGTTTACTATCCTCTTGCAACTCAACTTGCCAGTATGCACTTTTGAGGTCTAATGAACTAAGGTATCGAGCACCACCAAGTTTATCCAAAATGGCCGAGATGTAGGGTAAAGGATAGGCATCACGTTCACTAAGGGCATTGACCTTCCTAAAGTCCACGCAAAAGCGCATCTCACCACCTTTTTTTGGCACCAACTGGTGAACACCAAGGGGATGTCGCGGGTTCAATGACTCCAGCCGCCAGCATTTTGTTCACCTCTTCATCAATTAATTTTTGCTTGAAGAGAGAAACAGGATAATATCTTTGTTTAATAGGGAAACTATGACAATTTTATGTTTTACCACAGAAGTACGACCCAACTTGTCACCGATACTATCAATTAGTTAGGCTCTAGATAGAAATAGTCCACTGACGAATGGTGCACTGACTGGAAGATTAAGAATATTGCACGAGCCACATTTTAGAAATAATTTTAAATCACGACCTGTGGAAAGGCTATATGGTGGAATAGGTGTGGAGAATGGAGATACAATGTTATACTTAATTTGCTACCTTAAATCAATAACAATATACTTAAAATACCGTCGTTAATAAATCTAGCTATTTAAACCTGGTGTACAGAACCAATATTTGTGAAATGTGTGTGTACTTTATACTCCAAATAAGTTATCTTTGTGTATCCAGCGTCAGCCAATGTGGATTGGCCTTTTCGACACTTAAAACTGAGCTTAATTATCCAAAATCAGGGGTTTACGTACAGAAATCTTATAAAATCAGCAAATACTTGCTACTTAAGATTCAATATTTTCCCAAATTTTCACTCAAATTGGTCAAAATGCCTCAGAAGATCATGTGGTGATTAAGGCGAAAACACATTCAAAAATTCCACCTAAACAAACACAAAAAATAACTAGAAGTTTCTAACTGCCAATTATCAAGAAATAAATAACTTCATCAGACTCCAACCAACAAGACAAGTAGTTCCACAATTTGAGAACTTCCAGTGTGTTATGAGAGATGCAGTGGAGAAATACATACCGGTCAACCCAGTAAAAACCAACCCACAAAAACCGTGAATAAATATACAATTTACAACTGAAAAAGACTCAAGCCCAGGACTTGATGAAATGCCAACAGTTTTCCTTCAGAACTGTAGTGCTACAATTAGCTCATTGCTTTCAGGGGTGATGCAGGAATGTATGCTTCATACAAAAAATTCCAGCCCATTGGAAATATTCCATTGTCACGCCACTGTACAATTTGTACAAAAAAGGAGATCGACATAGAACAGAAAATTATCGCCCTATTAGTCTTACTTGCAACCCGCTGGAGAAAATTATAGTTAAAGAACTAATATCTTTCTTTCTAGAGAACAATCTCATACCTTCAGCCCAACATGGATTTCTACCAAAACGTTCTACCACTACCAATCTTTTGGAATGTCCAAATGAATGGACAAACAACCTACCAACAGATGTTATCTATCTAGATTATGAAAAAGTATTTGACAAAGTCCCACATAACCTGTTATTAGTGAAATAAGAGCACTTTGGAGTTAGAAGGAGAGTTGCTTGCCTTGATCAAGGATCTGCTAAAAGATGGATTTTTTCAAGTGAGAGTTAATGGAGAGCTTTCCAGTCCCCATAGGTTAACCAGTGGCGTCGTGCAGGGTTCGGGGATCGGTCCGGTGCTGTTCACAGTGTATCTTTTTGATTAGGTGGAACTAATCCAATCAAGTGTTAAATTGTTTGCAGATTATTGCAAAATCTCTGCAAATCCTTTGAGAGATGCGAATTTACTTCAAACTGATCTTAAGAACATTAAAGAGTGGTCAAAAACATGGGGAATGAAATAGACCTATCTATTTTACCAGACAAAGAGGTAATAATACGAAAACTTCATTAGATAAAAAAAGACACAGAATGCTCATTGCGCAAGACGAGGCAAAACGTACCAAATTATGTTAGACTTACGTATAGCAATCCGTCCTTCCTATTTGCACAGAATAAAAAAGGAAGGAGAAAGACCGCGTGTTGTGCAACGTATTTGTCAATGAAAATTTCAAACAACTTTTGAATGACACCTATCAAGTTGAATATGAACTGTACGTTTATTCTTGTCAGACCACGGGCACCGAACAAGGACAAGGAGATGCCCAGCGTGCAAAACGATCACCTCTCACCTGTATTAGGTAGCCAATAAAAATGCATTGCCTCGTGTTGCGTGCGCATACCAGGTAAAAATAGATAGGTCCATTGAACTCCTCAAAATGCACAGTACTAAGAAGGATATAGAACTTCTTGAGAATATTCAGCGCAGAGTGACAAAAATTCTCTCACAGTTGAAACAGTTACCTTATCGTCCCGAATTTTTAGGAAATTTTTCTTTATTTTTGACTGGTCGGATAAATGCGCAATCTGCAATATTCAAATTTTGGTGCCACAGCTGTTCTGTCGTTCAATTTCATTTATTTAAACAATTTCTTAATCCCTTGTTTACATTTTCCTAGTTCAACACAAGCTCAATTTTCTTGTTATTTAGGCCGAAAACCCAATGCATTTCGAAGTTGCTTGATGGAAACTTCCCCGAAAATAGTGAAAACAAATGTTGATTTACCCAATTTCATTGAAACAGAAGACTAATAATCACTAATATTTCAATCTATATGGTCCAATCAATCTTGTTTTCAGATATCGCCAGAAGCTGTGAATGACCTAAATTGATTGACTGGAAATCAGACACGTAACAAAGCAAAACAATAAAAAACTGTGTGTCATATTCTTGTAAGTTAAACAACAACTCACCTCATAGTATTCCTATTGTGTAAAACTATTGTGCTAGTCCGCATATTCTCGATACTTCTCTGCATGTCAGGCCCCTCAGATCGTTGATTATACAAACTTTGGCGCGACGCCATGCCCATAGTAAACCTAGGATCTCCAAAACCTCTCAAAGAATTCCCACCAACTAGCAACTCTCTAGGTCGAAGTTCGTTTTCATCATCATCAATATCTAACGTATTTGGTTCTACTATAATGAAAATTGATGTAGGTAATTTTAAACAAAAAACTACAATTTTTTACCATAATTAAGTGATTGATACTGAATCGACTCTAAATTAACATTATCCATAAATTCAACAGCCTCTGGTGGGGGTTGCCAGTCAGGATTAGTGTTTGTAAAGTGCATCAGAGACAATTCGACTTTGCCATCTTCAGCCTGATTGTATTGGTCGTTGGCCGTTACTGGCAAACTGGCATGGGACTGGTCTTCTTGCGGTTCAGCTTGGAAATCGGGGTTGCCGTGTTTGCGAATGTCCATTTGGGCGAAACTGCACACGTCACCCACTCCCACCAACGAAATTGTGAAATTTCTGAAGAAATCTACTAGATCAAGCCGGCGTGGGTAGATGTACATCAGCAAATAGTAAGGGACTAGAATAGGAGAGAGGAATTCTTCTAATAGAGCTGCAAATCTAAAACAATAATTATATGAGGCATGAAATTGAGCAACATAATCCAAATACTAACCTATATTGGAACAACTGTTGGAAACTGGATCTCACCCTAGAAGTATGCGAATAGCCTTGCCAAAGGCCTGGCAGATAGTGAGTGTGCAACACTACGCCTTCCAACAGCTGTTCTGGATTGCACATTATTGTCTCGTCTGGAGTCAAACTTCTACACACTCCAATAACGCCTGTCAATACAGCTAACAGCGTCAGAACCTAAAAGAGTTTGACCAGGAAATAATTTGGATAAGTCGCGAGAAACTTGTATAGTTCATACCAAATAAACTTTTAGTTATAATAATAATAATTTTTACTCGAATTTTTATTAGCAAAAAATTGCTCAAGGTAAGTAGAATAGTAAATAATATACAAAAAAAAATCGTCACTTATTCAGTTGGGATGCTTAAAATGTGATATTGTCTGTTTCATTGCAGTTGATAGTTCAAATCGAGGTTTAGGACCATAAAGTCATTGTAAAACCATTGTAAACCATAGGGTCTACAATGACTTTATGGTCCTAACCCTCGATTTGTGCTATCAACTTCAATGAAACAGACTATAGTTGATTTAGCCTATCCTATTCAAAACTATCTAAAAAGGATACGTCTAAACTCATCATCAAAACCGAGCATCAATCAAAGTTAAAGTCTATATATTCAAATCTGTATTTAAAAATTACCTGGTCATAATACAAAATATCGTTGTCTACAAAACCGAGACAAACGATGATAGCCAAAATGGATCCGCCCAGAAAGGCAAAATGTTGAGCTATAATCACCATTATGGGGGAACAAAACGATGCCATGTATTTTGTGGCGGGCTTGTAGGCTCGGGTCAGACGCGACCGAAGTTCGTGATCCAATTCGTTGAAGTGCCTGGAAAAGAAATTTTATGTATTTAGAAACCCTAGCGGAAAGGTTGAAACCTCAATTCATCATTATATTTTTTGTTTTTTTTTTTAATATTGAGTTCTCAAGTTTAAAACAAAATACTTCTTTATTCAATGTCATATTCTCAACAAACAAAAATATATCAAACCTGAAATATAGCTGTCCATAATGTGACCAATACCGTATACCAAAAAGACCCGGTTCCCTTCTCACTAGCTCAAAATAATTGAAAAAATAAAATATAATTTGTCCAAGAAATACTAGCGGAGACATTATTATGTTGACAAGAAACAACCACAACACCTTGAAAAAAAAAAATACAATAAAATTTGTATAAATTATAAACAAAAATAGGTACCTGTCGTCCAAGTTGAGCTGCCATTTTTTCTCTAGACCCCGGTCTTTTGTAGTCGTCTCTCAAATGCCAAGGGTTTTCGAATGGAGACCAAGGCGACCAGAACAAGAGAAACAGTACATTTATTCTAGAAAATAAACATTATTTAATAAAACACATATTTATTATGTATGTACCTACCGTAAAAATTTAGTCCAATATACACACTCTCCTAAAAATGGCACATTCACTCGTGGCGGAATTAATTTCTTATTAACAAGTGCAACCAAATAGTTTTGTTGTCTTAAAATTCTATGGTAAATATCTAGCTCAGTCAATTCTCTCTTGTGAATACACATTTGTAGTTCTATTTGCACCTGATCAAAAAATCAGTTAATAATTACTTTAGCAATAACTATCTAATAAAGTACCTGTATAAGCTTTTTTTGTACATCATGCCAAGTCAAATTATCCAAATTATTATCATCGATTTTCAGAGCCTGGTTATAAAATTGCTTGATGTCCCAATACATACCCAAAGCGTAAAATTTCCTAATAAGAGCCAGTACAAATACAACGCAAAAGAAAACTAATAAAAACCAACCAGATAAAGGAAGTGTGGACATCACCTTAAAAAATATAATTTATGTATTTTGTTTCCATAAGGCAAAAAAAATTACCTCATCAAAAGACTTGAGTACAGAAAAAATAGTTTTATGATCGTCATGAGGATAAGAGAAAAGTTTACTATAATCAACAGCATACATCATACAAAAAGTAATGCCAGCAATGAAACTGTACTGATTCAAATCCACCAGCTCTTTGACTCCAATACAGAAGAACCCATGCTTTTGGTGGTACTTGTATACGCGAGTGAAAAACGAGTCCAGGTCTTCGATGTGATTCCATTGCGATCTGGAAGGTTCCGACATGTGTTCCATGGGAATCGCGTATTCGCCGACTCCGTATTCGCCATAGAAATCTGGAGTTTCATGAAGGGATTCGTAGTTGGTAGTGGTAGTCATGATGGTTGCTTGAATTTAATCTTGAAAGAATAATAATTTGTTTACAATAATTAGAATTATGAATGTATTACAATAAAAATTAGAAAATCTCAATGTGTCTTGTTAAAACTGTTGAAAGATATCAATAAATAGTTATGTAGATGCAAGATTGAATAATGCCCAACCCAAAAGCAATTAAAAAGGAATAAATGAAAATGTATTTACTTAATACATATCTTGCTATTGCTTCAAAAAAAAAGTGATATTTTCTTTTTGTATCTTCCCTTGATTGGGTTTTTATACAGTCATTTTTATTTTGTGCCGTTCAAATTTGTTTTTTTCTCCTCAATAGTTGGTTCAATCTCAGAACTTGATCTTGAATACCTAACTAATTAATTTAACTATTGTTCTTGGTATCGAGATCCTGGTTTCAAAATTGATACAAGTTTAGGGCACTTTAGTGGTCAAAGATTTTGGATGGGGATCCAGATTCCAATTTTCCTGGAGTCCTTTTTCCAAATATTTCGTCATCAAATCTCAGAATAATTTACTGTGCGCAGTGCATTGATAAATAACATCATACAAGATGTCATAAAACTGGCATATAACACTTTTTGATCAACTGAGGTACCGGATATCAGAGGATCTGGCAATGGTCAAAGGCTGGTGCAGTGCAAATCTCCTCTCTTTTAATGTTGCCAAAACTAGCCTTGTTTGTTTTAGGCAATTTTAGGGGTGATGTCCGGGAAGTGAGGCTGGAGAGTGCGGATTTGCAGGCCAAATTAGAGAATAGGTTTTTGGGTATTCATATTGACTCTAGTTTGAAATTTGAGTCCCATATCATGGGATTAAGCAGTAAGCTGTTCTCCAGAACTACTAGATTTGAACTTGGTATGCTAGTAGCGCGGACAGTATACTTCGCTCTTTTCGAAAGCCACCTACGCTATGGCATTTCATTCTGGGATGTGGCTTCCCAGAATCTACTCAATATTATCTTTCTTTTGCAGAAAAAGGCTGTTCGGGCCATTGTTAATGCTGGTTACAGAGACTCATGCTGACCCCATTTTATTTCTCAGAGGATTCTTACTCTTACTTCATTCTTGAAACTGCATCGATTATTTTTAAAAATCCCGAAATGACCGGGATCCTCTTCGTGTACGCATCACTCGGCAAATTCATGACCTTCCATTGCCGGTTCCCTCAAGCGCACTTTAGAAAAATGCTCAAGATGTTTCTCATCGAAAAGGCCTACTATAGAACTGATGAATATTTTAATGATGACCTGAACACCATTTAGTGCTCTGGTGCTTTTTGTGGCTGATGGTGGTTGTATGATGTGCATATTTTTGTTTGTTTGTTTTTTTTTTATGTTTTTATTTTTTTATGTGTTTATTCGACGGTTTCTTACCTATTTATAACTTAACCTTACCTATTTATTGTTATTCACCTAGAATTAGTCTCCTTTGTCTGCAAAAATGTACATTTTTTTTTGACAATAAAGCACATTTGATTTGATTTGATTTTAAAATTTTCAATGTTACAAATGAAACTCCAATCAGTGGTACTCAGGTACTGATTTAAGCTGCTGTAATCTGCGTGCCAAAATTGATGGACAGCTGTTGATTAGCTTATCCATGAACTGGAGGTTCAAAGTTATTTCGATGTGTGAAGAAATTCTGTGTCTTCTTTTGGCAAGTCGGATTCGAGAAAGGTTCCAAGCGAATTTCATTGGTTGGAAATATTCAGAAAACTGGTTGTTGGCTTTGAACCAATCAAAAACTCTCTGACTGGTTTGTGATTTTTGTGAGAACAGACCTAATCGAGGACCTAATCTTCATCTTCAAGTTCTAAACTCTCGGGTTCAGTTATTGGGAAATTCGGGATATCAAATACATTCCTATATGATTCCCATGGACTCCTAGGAGATCCCTAGCGATTCCCAGGTTATTCCCAAGGACTGCCAAGTGATTTCTATGTATGTATTGATTATTATGTGATTCCCAAAAAAATGTACCATCGTCACCAAAAGTATCTGGGACACCAATAATGCATAATAATCTCCTGGACTAATTCTAGTGTCATTCATTCCAATGCATTTAATTGACCTTTTGTTTGGACGCCATATTGCGGTGCGCGAACATAGTTGCCAACAGTAGAAAAAAAAATGACTAGTGTTCTGTCAACCTTAAAATCCAATTTTAGTGAATAAATTACATTCAAAATTTAAATTTGCCGCCTATTACGAATGTTTTTGGAAAGAAGAGCCATCAATTTTAGCTTGTATTGGGCAGAATAGAAATAATAAAATATCTAGTTGACAGCCCGCTAGTAATTTTTGGTTTTCTTGTTTTGGCAACTATGTTCGCGCACCGCAATATGGCGTCGAAACAAAAGGTCAATTGACCTTTTGTTTGGACGCCATATTACGGTGCGCGAACATAGTTGCCAACAGTAGAAAAAAAAATTACTAGCGTTCTGTCAACTTTAAAATCCAAAGTTAGTATATAAATTACATTTAAAATTTAAATTTGCCGCCTATTACGAATGTTTTTGGAAAGAAACGCCATCAATTTTAGCTTGTATTGGACAGAATAGAAATAATAAAATATCTAGTTGACAGCCCGCTAGTATAATTTTTGGTTTTCTTGTTTTGGCAACTATGTTCGCGCACCGCAATATGGCGTCGAAACAAAAGGTCAATTCATAGTTTGACAAATATTTGACAATAAAATTCATATAATAGGACAAGAGCTAATGTCATGCTGTCCCAGTTACTTTTGGTGACGATGGTACATACAATAATTTCCACTCGAGTTTCCACTAGTGGTTTACCCCTCATTTAAACGCAAAATCTCAAGTTAAAAAAATTTGAAATTTCATAATTTTACTTCTAGAAGATTTATAAATAACAAATGATTGAATGATTGCAAATAATTATTTTACCAAATCGGAAATCGTGTTAAATGGCCACCTAGATCCCAAGATCTAAAAACAGTGAAAATACTAGACTAGACTTTTTTCTGTGGAACCACCTGGAAGGTGTTCATCTTGAGATTATACTATGATGGCTATTTCTAGATCAAAATAATAATGCAGGTTAAATAAGTTTTCTACTCTCTTCAACTAGTTTTCTTGGTAGGCACTCTTTGGCAACATTTTAAAATAAATAAAACTATTTTTACCAAGAATTTTTTTATGCTGACTAGTGACAACACTGTCACTGGGAAATTGCCACTATTTGAAGAGTTTTCTTTTTTATTTATTTATTTTTTATTTTTCTTTTGAAAAGAAAGTAACAGAAGACTGTTTTTCATCCAATCATGCCAATTTCAAAAATTAATGAAAGTGCCCATTGTCCATAATTTTGTTTAGTGAAATACAAGGGGTTTTTCACCTTGTTAATCGGTGTACAAATCACTGGTTAATATATGTCAATACCAGATAAATACTATGTCAATAGTGTCAATACTATGCAATACATACTTGTTAATTATGTAGGTAATATATTTTAATACTTGTAGATATCTAGGCAATATATGTTAATGTCATTGGTTGATAGTAATATCTGTGGATATGTCAATCCCTAGAATTCTGGCAAGACAAATATTTGATTTTAGTCTGTCAATAGTATGGCAATAGGTACCTGGTAATATGTGATAATACTAGGGCAATACCTGGCATAATGTGGAAATATTTTGTTAATACATGGAAATAGTTGGCAATAACTGGTTATTAGGTACATAATAATAATAATATTCTTTATTGCCAACAAAAATTGTATAAAAACAATCAGGGCCGTATCTAGGGGGGGGGGGGGGGGTTTTGGGGGTTCAAACCCTCCCAAAAAATAATAAAATTCAAAAAATTTATCTTAAAAACAAACAACACTTATTAAATAATTATTTATTTATTTTATTTTTATTACTAGTGTAACAATTTTTTTTTGCCACTTAGTCTAACCCCCCCCAAAATTTTGGTCTAGATACGGCCCTGAAAACAATACAAGCAATGTCACAAGGCTGATCCATCAGCCATTATCGATATAGACAATCAATATGATTTTAGGGTATAAGTTAAAATACACAACAATTTGTTGGCATTCAGTGCTAAAATAAAATAAAATACTTGAGAACAAATATAGGATTTGTGCTACACATTACAAAAAACAGTATCAAAATGTAAATTTGAAACAGTAAAAACATTTGAGGTGCAACCACTGGTAAACTAAAAATCTATCCACATTTTCAATTGCTTTTATGTTGTCTGCCAACATTCTATAAGCCTTAATGCCCATGAAGTAAGGGCCCTTCTCTAAAAATGTTGAGCAGTGGAGAGGAATACTCAAGTCACCCCTTTTTCTGGTTGACATAACCATATCAACTCCATAATATGCCTGATTGGTAGGAAACATGTGTATATTCCGCTTCACAAACATCACCAAGGATGCAAAGTACAGTGATGGAACAGTCAGCACCCCCAACTCAGTAAAAAATGGTTTACAAGAGGCTCTAGGATGTAGGCCCAGGATACATCTCAGGATACGCTTCTGAAGTCTGAAAACGAGTGGTGCCCCTTTTGATGCACCCCAAGAGCATATTCCATAACTAATGATTGATTGGATTTGACCAAAGTAGAATAGCCGAACCAACTCGGGTGAAATGACCACTCTCGGTCGTCTCAAAAGACCACAAAACCTACTCAACCTCAACTGAAGCGAATCAATATGAACTCCCCAATTCAGATTAGGGTCAATATGGAGTCCCATTTATGTGATCAGTGAGCGGAACAGTCCTTCCATCCATTCGAACAAGAAGAGACTCCAAGTTATTTTGAGTCTTGGAAAAAAATATTAAACCTGTTTTGTTGGTGTTCAAACTCAGGTTCTTTCCAATACACAATACTCTTTCATCCTCAGGGCGGCATCCGAACAACTCTGCGAGAGGTCGCGATTATTAGATCGAGCTACCACAACAAAGGTGTCATCGGCGAACTGACAGATGACCTCAGACGGAAACGCCTCAGCCAATTCATTGACATACAA